GGGGGGTGGTGGCAAATGGTTCCATTTTGGGCTTGTGTCTTTTTAAATAGATCTGTATCTATGTCATGAGATATTTATGAGGAATTGGCTCATATGATTACGGAAGCCAAGAGGTCCCACGATCTGTCATCTGCAAACTGTAGACCCAGGAAAGCTGGCTGGTAATTCAGTTCCGATTTGAAGACTTGAGAAATAGAGGAGCCAGTGGTCTAAATCTGAGTCTGAAAGCCAAAGATCAGATGAGATGATGCAGCTCAGACAGCGAGGCAGGAAAAGGGGGTGAATCCCTCCTTCCTCCACCTTTTGTTCTATTCAGGCCCTCACCAGATTGGAGGGTGCCACCTTATGAAGGAAGGGGATCCATGATTCAGATGCTAATCTCATCTGGAAACACCTCACAGACACACCCAGAAGAATGTTAAATTTGAGCCTGGGAAAGAGGACAGAGGACAGAGGGGAGAAGGAACTTCATTTAAGGACACTACCAAGGAGCTGAACACGTCACTTCCATCACAATTAGCTGGCCTTAGCTGGCGGAAACTTAGGGGGTCTTAACTAGTTGCAAGGGAGTCTGCGATGTGTAGTCTTTAACCAGGAGGCTAGTGCTCCGCTGAAACCCAGCGGCTTCATTATTAAAAATAGAAAAGGAAAAATGGATACTAGGGAATAATTAGTAATCTGTATCACATGCATGTCATTGCACAGTTCTCTAGGGGTGATCTTATTGTCTACATTCAATGGATAAGATAGTTGAAATTCAGAGAGAGGAGAGTACTTGTCAAAAGTCACTTAAATATGTAGATCAAAGAAGAAGAATGATTATAATCAAGGCAGCAGCACTATACTAGGTTCTCAGCTCTAAAAGAGAAGGAAAACACATATCTACTTAATGTTGTTTTGCCACCCATCAGGAAACAGACAGCTGCAGTTTTCACATGCCATTGGCAAGCCTGTTTGGCAGGCAATCTTGTGGGAGATGACATAACAGGAAGAAAATTAAATCATTGAAAGTAGTAGCTAGAGTTAAGCCCTTGGGGGGTCGGGGGGAGCAAGGTTTGTTTTCAATTACTTGATTATATGATTAGACAGGTCTCACAGATTCTCCTATATGCCTTGGGTAGTTAAAATCTCCATTTTTTAAACCATCAGCTTTAGTTGAATTTTCAATTTGAGAGAAAAACCTGGGAACACAAGTAATATAAGTTTGCACACAAAACAAATTCAACCCTGAAAATACAGGGATGACAAGATAATAAAAAATGCAGGAGCAAAAACGTTGGACAAGCCTATCAGTTTGCCAAAATTTTGAGGTCAGATGTCTATGAGCCATGAAATTGTTTAAAAATTGCCCTGTATAAATAAATATATGTCTGGAAGGATAGCTTACACAATAATTTTTGAGCTTTCTCCTTAGGAAAATGATAAGAAAAGTTAGGTGCGTGCGAGGGAAAATGCTGTAGGGCCAGTGATAATAAGAATACTAGGGAATATATCCATGCGTTAAGAGGACATATTCAGCAGTACATAATCACTGTCTCACTCCTCCCGTTCATGGGGAGAAATTTCTGAGCAACTTCAATTATTTTTTTAATGTTTTATTTATTTTTTGAGAGAGAGTGTTACGGATCCAGGCTGGATCGCTGGCAGAAAAACCAAGTGGCACTCGGAGATCTTGGTGGATCCGAGTTTTATTTTACACCTTGGGGCTCAGAGGAGCTCCTTCTCCAGAGATCTGAGTCCCGAGCACAAGCATGGGGGACAATTTATCCTCTGTTACTTCCGCATTCCCCATTAATAGTAATTTGGCACCCATGGCAAGCAGGGCAGGAAGAAGAACCTGGAAGAAGAGTCTCTAAGCTAGGAACTAGAGTTTATGTTAGTCCCGTGGCCATCTTATGGTGCAGAACTTTACTTATTTTCCCAGCAGGAGCAAGCAAGCAGGGCAGGGGCAAAGAGAGGGGGGACAGAGGTTCCGAAATGGGCTCTGCGCTGACAAGGTGATAGCAGTGAGCCCGTTGTGGGGCTGGAATTCAAGAACCATGAGATCACTACCTGAGGCGAAGTCCGATGCTTAACCAATGGAACCATCCAGGTGCCCCAGGAGCTTCCAATTATTTTAAAACAATCTTAGGGGGCCCTGGGTAGCTCTGTTGGTTGAGCATCTGACTCTTGATTTCAGATCAGATCATGATCCTAGGCTCCCCTCTGAGCATGGAGCCTACTTAAGATTCTCTCTCTCTCCATCTGCCCCTCTCCCCGAGTTGTGCTTGCTCTCTCTCTCTCTCTAAGAAAAAAAAAAGAAAAGAAAAAAAAAATCTTAAAAACTTTTAAGCGTTAAAAATGTTAAATCAACTATCTAATATGAGAATTATATACTTTTAAAATCCTTTGACTTTTTTTATTGTGTTAGAAAGACTCAGATTCCACTAGGTTTTACACTCCTTTTTTTACCTTATCAATCCTCCTTAAAGAAAGGTTGAAAGGTAACTTTGGAGGGAAGTAGGGAGGTTTTAGTAGGAGGCAACAAACACTGAGAACCTAGAATTTGAAAACAGATGTGCCTGTATATGGAGTATCATGGTTATAAAGAGAATCTCAGTTGATTTATTTGGTGAAATTCATTGATTAATGAGAGCCATAACAAAAAGAATGCTATGCCCTCAGCATTTCACATTACAGTCTCACCTCTATAGATTCCTCATCTTAGTGTCCCCACCCACCAAAAGCTGATGAATAAATTCAGAATCCTAATATAAGTAGCTTTTGGAAAGTTTTCTCTCCTTGGTTATCAATCAATATTTGAATAATAAACACTCAGTGAGCCCTATAATATATTAATTTTCAAGTGTGCAGAATTAAGCAAAAATTTTTTTTTAGTTTTTTTTTTTTTTTTTTTT